ATATTAGTTTGAGATCCACTGCTTTAGGTAATTCAATTAAGAGAACATTAACCAAGCATCTTATGTATTTATAAAGCATATAAAAAAAGGAAAATACACACTCAAACATGAACTTGCCTTCCAGGAAATCTGACATTTAAGGAAGATTATGAGGGGAGTCATAAATTAGATAAAACAGATGTATAGAGCACTATGCATTGTTGAAAGCACAGCTGTCAAGGTTTTCACTTCTGAGTTCTGTGTCTTCCACTGCTAGTTTACAACTGACAACTGTAGATAATGGTTAGCAATGCAAATACAATTGTCTATATTCTTGTAACTTCTGTCTAGTGGAGGTTCAGTGGACTCCCTGGCCTACTGTAGAAGACCATTGTGCCTCCATGTGCTCATTTATTTTAATATTCCTGATCTATAAATGTCTTGTTCTTTTATCATTTGAACTGGTTATAACATCATCCCGGTTCCCTCATTAAGGGAAACAAAATCTGTGTGTTCATAATCTTATATTTGTGTGACAGTCATGATTTTAATTCCGCCCCCTTTTTTTGTGGAACTTTGTGTATGAGTGTGTGGAATATTCTTTTAGACATAGGAAGAGATTATTTGCTCTAGCCACTTTAACCAGTATAATATCTAGTATTCATTGTGGAAGAAAAAAAAAAGTACTGCTTTCAAATGGTTAAGATGAAAACCAGTAACAAATGAAAAACCTTAAATGTGTTCATTTAGACCTGATTTAGGTCTTTTGCCCCACCTTTGGGAAGATTTTACTATGATACAAATGAGATCCAGGTCTTCAAGTACTTTTAAGCTACACCTAGTGAAGTAGGATTTACAAATACCAACAATTTCTGAGGGGTCACTGAGTCTCCTAAGGCCTTCCTGTAGAGGTCTGGATGAATTTTATTTGTAAACTTATTTTCCATTTCACATAGCAAAAATGCCTTTTGAGAAGTTGAATTTTTCCTGGTTCTTTAAGAGTCATGATTAAAAAAATCCTCCCATTCCTCTCCTAATGGCTTCTACAAGACCCTGAGGATAACCCTTTACCTACGACTAGGGAAGACAAAGGCTCTCCAAATTCCTATTCTTTGCCTCATTTATACATTTGTGAATCTTTCTTAAAGATTTACTTATTTGAGAGAGAGAGAGAAAGGAGAGGGAGATAGAGCGCTAGCGTGCACAGGTGAACATACACAGGCCAGTGGGGGTAGGAACAGAGGGAGTGGGGAAACCGACTCCCCACTGAGCGGGGATGCCAACGTGGAGCTCCAGGCTCAATCTCACAACCCAGAGATCATGACCTGAGCAGAAACCAAGAGTCTGTCCCTCAACTGACTGAGCCACCAAGGCACCCCTAGAAATTTGTGAATCTTAACTGCATGGTCCAAAGTGACCAACTGGAAGAAAAATGTCTGTTAGCTGGATTTTAAGTTTCTCTCCTTCCCCCCAGGTTCCAGAACTTTGGCCCACCCTCAGTCAGAGCCCACAACTCCTCCAGGGAACAGGCTGGCCTCAGGGTAAAACACTCTGGAATCTACAAATCAAGGAGTCTGTTCTGGCGTCCTTTACTCCTCCCTTGAGATGCTGGTAGATCTTTTGGTCAGAGAATTCTCTCCATTGTAATAGTTCCTTTTCCCTTATTGCCATAACCCTTTCAAATAAAGTCTCTCTTTACTAACTCTGGATTTTTTTTAATTTGAAAAATCCCTAAAAATTTTTTGCATCTTGGGCTTTCTTTCGCTTTAGGGTTGCCAACATTTTATTCAGTGCCTGCATATAGTACATTTTGTGATTCTAAAATTAACATATAATATTCTTATAGGACTACTAGAAGAGTCAAAAGACAATGAAATAAATGTAGATAGATTAGACCCCTTCTTTTACTTCTACCACCTTAGGCAGTAAACAAAATTATTTGCTCCCTGTATGATTTGAACACTGCAAGCTCAAGAAACAAGTTCTTTTAATTGAGGTATAATTTACATACAACATTAGTTTCAGGTGTACAAGGTAATAATTTGACATTCGTATATATTGTGAAAGATCACAATGAGTCTAGTTAACATCCATCACCACATGGTTACAATTTTTTCTTGTGATGAGAACTTCTAAGATTTACTTCCTTAGCAACTTTCAAATATGCAACAGTGTTATTAACTATTGTCACCACGCTGTACATTACATCTGTATTACTTATTTTATAAGGGGAAGTTTGTACCTTTTGACCCCTTTCAGCCATTTTGTCCAACCCCCACCTCTGGCAACCACCAATCTGTTCTCTGTATCTATGAATTTTTGTTTTTATTTAAAATTTATACATGTAGGGGCGCCTGGGTAGCTCAGTGGGTTAAGCATCTGCTTTGGGCTCAGGTCATGATCTCAGGGTCCTGGGACTGAGCCCAGCGTCAGGCTCCCTGCTCAGAGAGGAGTCTGCTTCTCCCTCTGCCTCTGCCCCTCCCCTCGCTTGTGCACACCTTCTCTCACTCTCTCGTATAATAAAAATCTTAAAAAAAATTTATACATTTAGATTCTATGGAATTAGTTTTCAAGCATTATCACTTGCTATCCATTATCAAACTCTGAGGTAGGCAGGCTAGATGTAGCTGAGGAAGCTCATACAAGGAAATGACACTAGCAAGCTTTCCTAATAACACAAGGTCTAGGACATTACCGCAGGGCTCCTACAGGAATTAAAGCAGGACACCACAGCCATCACTGCCACTAACAAAACAGCAGACGAAGGTAGGGATTACTCAAGGAGAATTTTTTTTTCTTCCTAAAATTTAGAGGGAAATTTCCCAAAATATTTTCCAACATATTGGTTTCCCTTTACACAGCTTTTCCAGTCTGCTAATTAGTAGGAAAAAGTAGCATTAGGAGGAAATTTAGCCAAACAAAAAATTTACTGAATTTTTAGGTTAAGAGTCTTTCCCTTTCATGACAAATGCCTTTTTTCTTTTGGGGGGGGTCTTAGAAATTTACAAGGCATTTTCCCAGATTATCTTTTAATGAAAAAATCATCTGCACTTTATAAATCAGCAGTTTTGGTCATAGGCATATAAGTCATGCCTCTTGAAACTGTCAACTTTTTGTACCCATTATCTTCAAATACTAACTACTCACACTACAAGTGAATGGACACTAACAGAAGGATTAAAGAGCCAAATGAGATAGTCTTTAATCCTTAAGAGTCAGGTCCAACAAGAAAAATAAAGAACTTAAAACCAAAACACAGTCAATAGTACCATTTAAAATATTTGGTTAAAGTGCCTGTAGTTAGTAAGTGCCAGGTACAGTACTAAGAACAAACATCATCTCATTAATCTTGACAACAGTGAAGTACTATCATCCCCATTTACAGATGATGAAACTGAAACTTAGAGCTCTACTTACCAAACCTAGCACAGAGCCTGTTATAACATTTAAGTTCTTGCTTAATGGGAAAAAAAACCCCACAAAAACTAATTTTACTTCATATGAAGAATCCCTCTTAATTAGGCCCTAATGATTTACTCTAGGTTTACCTAATGTACTCCCCTCAGATTCTTTAATGCTTTGTCTAGCATACTTTTAGATCATTTGGGGAACAAGTTAGCAAACCCTTCAGGCTTCCAAATTTGTCTCCAGTCCTCTAGTCCTTAAAGGCCAAAGAGAACTGAAGTGGGATTTCAACAAGTGGAGAGATTGTTTCCAGACCAAGAAGAATGACCAAAGTTCTCTTTATTCTACCTGATTCTGGATGTGGCCCAAACTGTCAAACAATACCTAACACTAAGGTTGTTAAGTGATTGTGAAACTGAACTCTATCATTCTGTTGAAAATACTTTCATCTCTTCCTAAAAAATAAGTCTGGACTCTCTAACATGGCATTACTTGTTCAAATGCCACATACTCCAGGCCAAACTACACTCCCTGCAGAGGTCTTTTACACTTTAAGCCTTTATATTGACCTCCTGCTTGGAAAGCCCATGGCCCTTTCTGTGCCAGGCGATGCTTATTTTTCAGTGTTTTCACCTATCTGGTGTGCCTTACCCAGATACTATTATTATAGGTCCTTCTTCCTCTGTGTCTGCAGAACAATTTGACAGTGCATTAAACCTTTTTCTTTATTCTCAGCTGTGGGAAAGCAGGAGCTATATGGTTTTATTTTCTGCATCACCTAAGGCAAAAGAGGAACTTAGGGACTTCCCTTTTCATAGCACCATCACAGGTTTTTGTTGTTTTTCAACAATATATTAAGCTCTGAGGGGACAAGAAACCTAGTTCCTGTTTTACAGCTGTGGCTTCTCTAGCTTCCATACTAGCACTTAGTACTAACAAGGTGTTTTGAATACACGTTCGGAAGCTGCCACAGTCTCACACCAAGGAGGATCAATCTCTCCAAATCAGGGTGACTAGGTCCACAGGATGCTGCAATTATTCCAACCCCAACAGCATAGTGGTCACAACCATAACGCCCCTAGCTGACAGCGACATCGTAATGGTTCAAGCTACGAGCTACGTCCAAGGATCATTTACTATGTTCATCCTACTGGGATGGAAAAAATGAATACTGATCGGCCTCTAGCCTCAACCAAACAGCTACAGCTGGGAGGATGCTCATTAAAAAATAAAAAAACGAAACTGGAGCGATATAGGCTACGGACTAGGTCCAAGGCCATAATCACCCTCTTGTAAGCGGTACAAGCCTAAATCATAGCTTTGAGGGCTGCAGGTCTCCCGAAAAGAGGCGACAACCCAAGGAGGACACAGATGCGACAGAAACTGTGCTGGGTCCTGATAGGGGGCCCGCAGATGAACTGGAGGAGGCCGGGGACTGCGGGGTGGCAGGCTGCTGGAGGCCCCAGGCAGCAGCTGAAAGTCCCTTTCACGTGTCTGGGCCTCCTCTCCCACCTCTCCTTAGAGACCTCCGTGAACCGGTCCTGGCTCCCCCTCTCACTCAAGGACCTGTCTCCACACTCGCGCCCTTCCCAGAGCCTCCCCCCAGTCCCTCCCACCTTAGCTCTCGCTCTCCTCTGCGGAGTTTGGGCTGCACCCGCATCCACGTACGGCCGACTTGGCTGCGAGCGTTTCCTCTCCTCCCCGCGCTACCACTGAGAGGACGGCGGATGAGGGCTAGAGAGGCTCAGCGTTACCATAAAGAGACGTCCAGGAGAAGCCTAGAGCGATCTAAACCAGGTCGGCCTCCCGAACCGAAAGGGCGGGGCGGCGTTAATTGGCGGAAGATGCAACGTGAGGCAATGGTTGTTTCAGAAGTTACTTCGATTTTGCTGTCTGTTCTGAGGTTAGGGAATTGGGCGCTCCCTGGGGCCATTTCTTACAAGATACAGGTTCAGCTGACTTAGATTGTGTTCGCAAATCTCTGCGCCTGTGCGGGAGGCCAAATTTTTGCACCCCACTCCTCTAATCCCTGGAGAAGTGAATGAGTTACAAGAAGCTCTAGAACAGACCGTTTCTTTATGGTCTCACGTTTTATGTGATTTCTTTTGTTCAAGCGAAATATATTCCAAAATGCATCTCTTTTATTTTAAGCTATAAAAATAGCTGTGTTTATTACTTCAAGTAAAATGTAGGCTCCAGGACGATGCTTGTAAATTTTGAGGGAAGAAACAGTGTATTTCTCGTATCCTTATTTTCTGCCACAGTTTAGGTGCTTAGTTTTTAAAGTGGATTTTATTCGTCTAGAGTCTTTGAGAGCTTGTGATCTCTTAGACTGAAGGGTCTTAGCCTTCAACAATTTTCAGGTGTATGGGGGGGACACCTATTGTTTTTTTGACCAGCCAAGTGAAAAATGTGAGATGGGGAAATAAGGCATACCAACACCCCAGCTTGCTAGTAATATGAAACACACAACTGTAGGTTGTTTTAATATAGTGAGCCTATCTGTGGTCCTTCCGGCCACTTCCATTCTGCTCTGCAACCAGGCAGGGTTTTGCTGCTCACTAAAATCAAGTCAATCTTAGAACTAGGGAATGGGAGAAAGGCAAAAACAAGGGACAATCCCCTCAGCTGTGTCTGCAGGAGGTCACGTTCAGTCGTTCTTTTGTTACTTTGTGGTTGGTACTTTGCTAAGAAATAATAAAACAAAATTTATCCCTGCTTTGAAAGAATTCACAGACTAGTGAGAGACAGAGGAGTAAACAGTGTGGTGTGATAAATGCCATACTAGAAACACAAGGATATGAGCAGGATAAAATGAGAGGCATGAAAGCCTGGGCATTCAGGGGGGAGATTAATGCTTGAATTGAGCTGTCATATGAAAAAAATAACTGGATACACTGGTGGCCTCCAAGTATACTACTAGTTAAGCTATCCTAGAGGTAATGAAACAGAAGGCTCACAGACCAAATTAAGATGCTTGAATAACCTGGTTTATTGAATCAATTTAAATACCCAGTGAGAAGCAAGGGAAATAATTGGAGTAAGTTGATACTTAGGATAGGGTGCAAGCAAGTGGAAGGACAACACCTAAATCATGAGTTATGTAATATTCATATGTTCTGTCTGCCACATCAGCCTTTTCCACTGATGATATGCTTATAAGGACTAGAGTTGAGGTTATAGCAAGGAGGCCCACAGGTGGAAAGTGCTTTGGGCCAGTGGCACACCCTGCTCTGTTGGCTATGCAGGGAAACATGCCTGGCCACAACCAGAGCCTACTAGTTAGTTTGATGAACAGACCACTGATTTTATTTGCATTTCTTGGATAGAGCACATATATATGAGACTATATGAGGTGTCATGGGTAGCTAATTTAGGGCTGACAAAACTTTCAGCCCAGAGATGGCACAGTTATTCATACCTTAGTTTTTCTATCCCTTTTTGACTATAAATGACCCTCTTCTATCATATTTTTTATTTAACTTTGGCATGCCTTATAGTTTACTAACTTACTATGTATATTTAACACCATTCTGCCTATGTTTCACAAAGTACATAGTTACTCATACTCTATATATAAAACATCCTAGGAGTTTTGCATTTATCTCATAAGCTACTAGTGTACTTAACACTTCTGACTAACACTTCTGACTTCCATCCTTAAGGAAACTGCAAGGAATTCAGTATAGTTGGAGTGGGAAGCTGGAGAGGTAAGTAGACAGATAGTACCCTTTTTGTGGCATATTAGAAATACTAGATTTTATACTGAAGAAAACTGTAAAACTATAAGGAGAATGGAAAATAGGAAAGAGGTCCACTTCTGGGCAGGAGGGCCAGGTGGAATCTCTTGCCCTAAGGCAGGTGATTAATAATGAGGTCTTCAGTCAACTAAGGCAGTGGCTCTATGGGATTAGAGGTGATTTCCCCACCGCCCCCCCAAGACATTTGGTAATGTTTGGAGAGAATTTTGGTTGTTCAAAGTAGGGGGTACTACTGATAACTATTGGGGTAAGGATAGGGAAACTTCTAAACATCCTACAAAGCACAAGACAATCCTTCACAACAAAGAACTGTTGTGATATTAGTAGTGCCAAGATTGAGAAATCCTGAAGTAAGGGATTTAAGAAAGCATAAAGAGGATAGAGGTTAGCAATTAGATTCAGTTGGATTTTATAACTGATTAGATATAGATGTGAGGTAGAAGGAGAGAACAATTTTAGGGTTCTAGCTCGGATAACTAGGAGGACAAAGGGTTAGGGAAAATAGAGACAAAGAATTAAATGTTAGATAAGTTTGAGACATCCCCAAGATGCGCAGTAAGCAGTTGGAAAAAAACAGGAGATGAGAAGAAAATTGAGACTCTTAATAAGAAATGTTTGTACCAGATTAGATTAGAATCTCTACAGATAAACTCTTAAGAATCTGCATTTTTGGCAAGCAATTAGGTGATCTTGCAGCATGCCAAAATTTGAGAACAACAGTTTTAGGTCTCAGAAGAGAGGTCTGAGGAGCAGTGAGGTAGCCGGAAAACTAGGGAAGAGCAGAGTCCCAAAAACCATGGAAGGAGAGAGTTGAAAGCAGGGGTTTTATTAGTACAAGAGGTTGCTATAAAGCAGTACTGGTCATTAGAAGTATAATGCGAGTCACATTTTCTAGTTGCAGTATCACAAAGGTAAAAAGCAGGTGAAATTAATTTTAGAACTCTATTTTGTTTAACCCATTATATCTAAAACATTTAAACATATAATTCATATAAAATTAATAAGGTATGTTATATTCTTTTTTCATACAAAGTCCGAGAAAGCTGGTGTGCCTTTCATACCTCTAGCACCTCTTAATTTGAACTAGCTACAATTCAGGTACTCAGTAGCTACATGTGGCTAGTGGCTACCATATTGGATAGCACAGCTGTAGAAGGTCAAGTAAGAAAAGAACTTAAGTGTAATCTTTAGCTATAGTAATAACAGTGGTCATAGATAGTGTGATAAGAACCCTTTCAATGAAGAAGCCAGAATATGCCCAGGTAAAGAATAGGAAGTTAGAGATGGTAACAGCTACCATAAAGAACATTTTTGAGAATATTTGCTATTAATAATATAGTATGAGGGGCTTTTTTTTTTTGTCTTTTGAGTATGAATTTAAGATCAGATAGCATAATTCAGTTTTTATGTAAGGTTTAACAGTTATATTTGAACTTCTGCTTGTGCAGAATTGCCTTCCCCCTGGATACAACTAGAAAATTGGGCATAATATATGAAGTGACTGTTTTCAGACATTGGGCAACAGACAATACAGAATTGTGATCCTTGAGAGAAGAGAAATAAGGTAAGTCCTACAATGACTCCAGCCTACTGCCTGGAGGGCATAACAGGGAGGGAGTTTAACAGAGACCAGTGGTTTCACTGAATGGAGGGGACAGATGGGAATTGAGGGAAGCCATTGAGAAGATACCAGAGAGGAGGAAGTGGCACCGAGAGAGGTCTGTCTGCCCAGGTGTAGCTTTCCCCTTGTCCTTTGGCTGAGTATTGATCTGTGCAATGAAGACTGAAACTCCATGAGACCTGGCACCAAAAAGCAGTAGGCCAAACCCTTTCTGATGTTTGCACAGGGCTGGGAATAGTTTGTGTTCCCATCTGCCAGAGTAGAGAGACTGTAATACACACATTTCTACCAATCAAAACAAGAATAGTTGGAGGCTGGTCAACTTGCTCGCTCTTTCAGGTATCTCTGCTTAGGCTTGTTTGGTCTTCCTCATAGCGTAGTAACCATAGGGTACCTGGATTTATTACATGGCTCAGAGCTCCCAGTGCTTGTGTTCCAGCAAGGTGAAAATTTCTTAGCCTTTTATGACTTATCCCCTGGAGTCATGAATTGTCACTTCCACCTCATTCTGTTGGTTATACGCAAGTCATTGAGCTTGGTCCAGATTTAAGAGGTGGGAACATAGCTCCTACCTCTTGATGGGAGGAATATAAAAAAATTAGCAGATATGTTTAAAAACTGCATAAAATATCATAGTCTAGTACCAAATCTAATAACGACCATCATTTCAAAGTAGTTATGAATATAAATAATATTTCAAGATATCTGTTACAACTTTGATACAAAAAATCTGTGATTTCTGTTGCTGACTAAGTTTGAGGTATTGTAGACACAGTACTGCAACAGTACTAATAGTTACAGCAGTTCTGTGACACCAGCTGGGAGATAATGTCAGGTCCCACTGGTTAAGGGTTCAGTCCTACAAGACTGCCCCTTCCCCACTTCAGATGTTAATCATAAGTGTTTCTGATCCACTGGCTATAAATCAGGTTTGATTAATTTGCTAGAGTAGCTCACAGAACTCAGGAAAACATTTTACTTAATAGATTGCCAGTTTATTAGAAAACGGTATAACAGGAAGCACTAGGTAAGAGATGCATAGGACAAGGTATGTAGGAAGAGGCACAGAGACCTTCCATGCCCTCTTTGGGGTACACCACTTTCCTAGAACCTTACATCTGTTCACCAACCTGGGAAATTTTCTGAACCTTGTGCTTTTGGGTTTTTAGGGAGGCTTCATTAAGTAGATATCATTGATTAAATCATTGGCCACTGGTGATTAGCTTAATCTCCAGCCCCATTTCCCTCCAACCTTTGTGGCTTTTCAATAGTCCCTTCATTAACATAAACTATGATGTGGTTTAAGGGGCTTGTTATGAATCACA